TTTTTCCAACAATTCTTAATTGACTTTTTTAATTAAACAAAAGAGAAATACTTGTCTTCATTTCATTATTATCATCTGCGTTTGTACTTACAGACTCACACCATGTGTTTTATAGTAATTATCCCATTCTTGGAGACATTCTTCAAGGACCTTATAACTGTGTGCTGGGAAGTTTGTTAAGAAGGTAGATCTCATGTTATGTGTTGGGTCTTTTTTTTTTAACTATACACACACACATACACTTGTTATATTGGCGGGGGGTGGGGAGCCATTAAGTACATAAGCATTTAAAATAGAGTGTGACAGGTGCTATCGTCGCTCTGTTAGTAAGTATCAGACACTACAGAAGCACTTAGGAGGGACATTTGGCCCAGCCTAGAGGGCAGGAGAGCCAAGCAGTCTCTGTCTGACAGAGGTGACTGCTGAGCAGAGTTGATGGGTTAGTAGGAATTAATATAGCACAGGACCAATTTATCCACTAAGCACCTCATATTGGGGTCTTGAAAAAATTTATTCACTCTAAAAGACAAAAAGCATAAAATCTAAATTAATGAATACATCATTCACTGTTAAATTTAAAATGTATTAAAATGTCACTATATTGAAAAAGAGAGGAACTGTGTATGCAAAGAGAACCTATTCTGAAGGCCTTCTACACTCAGACAGAAACAGGAGTTGACTCTAAGTCCATAAGCAGCCACTGGCAGAGTCTGTTTGTGAAATCGCATGGCCAAGGTTACAGGTTAGAGAATTGCCTCTGGTGGTCATCCCCGATTATGGGCTTTTGGGGCACGTGAAGGTCCAGGATAGAGTGGTTAGGACTTGGGATCGTCAGTGCCTGGGAACATCTCCCAGCCCCTAATCTGAAAACGTTCCAGCTCTCCATTTGGGTGGCCAGCTTGACTAGCTCTTACCTTTAAAGTTCCTTCAGGTCAGGTCTCCAGGAATAGAACTGGAGATGGACACAGGGCAGTGTCCACCAAGTTCAATGAGTTGGGGAGTGACAGAGAGTCCCCCACTACCATCCTGGGCTCACATTTAGAGGATTAAATGAATCTCCTGGAGGGAAGAGTCTTCCTTGAAATATTTACTCTCTTTGCCTGTACCCATTGGGACAGTTCCAAAAGTCCATAGGGACACCCACGTCATCTTTGTCCTCTACTTCCTGCTTCATTCTTAGCCTTGTTCCCCTTTTTAGAAATTGCATGTTAACTGTTATATAGCCAAAGAACAGCATTCTGACCTCTGCCCTGTGACTTCCTGATCTTATAAATACAAGGGCAGAGCTGGGGTCCTGTGAGCCCAGGAGTCCTCAAGCCAGCTCTGACTGCCCACCGGGAGGATGAAGGTCTCCGAGGCTGCCCTCCCCTTCCTCATCCTTGCTGCTGCCCTTGGATCCCAGGCCCGGGTCATACATGGTGGTGAGTTCAGTGAACCTTCTCACTGGTGGCCAGGTCCATGGTATCTCACGGTCTGGGGAGGAGATGCAGAGGGACACCACTGCCTTCCTGTGACTACTCTCTGTCCCAGACACGATTATGGCACTGCTTGAAAAGCAGCAGCAGGGTATAGACCTGCCTCTGTCTACAGCCTTTGGTTCCTGGAAAAAAATTTACACAATTGACTGATCCCATTTGGAACCAAAATTATCTGATACCTTCTTTTAGCTCTCATTTTGGCTAGATCAAAAGAACCATAATTAAATTGCAAATTTGTGGAAAGAAGCATATAATTCTATGATGTTCAAACTGTTATATACCATGTAGCATAAAACTATCATTTTGGAAAGGAAGAGGGAACAGCCAGGCAAGTGATTCACCCAAAGTCACTGTCTCATTTGTACCTGTGGAATTTTAATTTATGGAGGTGATTGAGTATCAACACAGAGAGGCCAATGCCATTGAAAAAAAGAATTTATTACTTACATTTCCCAAGAGAAGGAGGTACACCATGCCACAGGGGCCCCAAGGGAAGCATCAGGTTTTGGTCAGGAGGCATGAGCAGGAGGGAGGGAAAAACCTATGCCAGAGGCCGGCGCCTTAATCCTAGCACTCTGGGAGGCCGAGGCAGGCGGATTGCTTGAAGTCAAGAGCTGGAGACCAGCCTGAGCAAGAGTGAGACCCCGTCTCTACTAAAAATAGAAAAAGAATTAGCCAGGTGTGGTGGTGCATGCCTGTAGTCCCAGCTACTTGAGAGGCTGAGGCAGGAGGATCACCTGAGCCCAAGACTTTAAGGTTGCTATGAGCCAGGCTGACACCACGGCACTCGCCCGGGCAACAGAGACTCTGTTTCAAAAAAAAAATACAAAAGAAAAAAAACAAACCAAATAAACAAAGTATGTCAGAACCATCGCTGGGTTTCTGGGGAAAAGGCAGGGCAAAGCAGAGTACGCAGTTTAGGATCTGCTAGTCTGAGCAAGTCTGGCAGGCTTTGTGATCCAGAGATGGTCTCTGGTTATCTGGTACCTGGCCTTGGCATGA